TGTCACGTGGTCATGTGACTCGCTGACGCAACAATATCTAGTAATCTCCCGACAATTCACGAAGGTTCGAGAATGACGTGGCGTGATACTAGTCACGTGACCTCGATGTCGTAACAATATGATCTACTCCCAATTATCTCCGAATTAACTACAACTTTTAATATTTGATAACACCTATAAGCATTTTCCGAACCTACTCAGAAAATGTTTACATAGTACATTGTGTTGTTTATAGATTGGACTAAGAAGCTCTTTATAACATAAATTAACTTCATCAGCACTGGATATGGCAAATATAGTGTGGTGGATTTATTATAACATATTTTCCTTTGCCTTCACTCATGGGTTTTTAGAATTAAAAATTTGTAATGAATGCACCCCAGATTTTTTTTTTTTCTGTTTATCCAAAATGCTAAAACCCTTGTAATTATTACTCATTAATCGTACTAGTATTATCTTTAAAAAAGTCCCTGGTGGTTTAACGATAAACTTACGGACTTATAATGCTAAACTCCGGGGCTTGATTCCTGTCGGTAGAGAAAGCGCAGGTAGCCCATTTGTAGTTTTGCGCTAAAAACAAACGACGTATAACTTTAAAGCACTATGTTTATTCATGTGAAATGCTAAGTATTAACTTTCACTTATGTTCTAGTTATCTGGTTTATTAAAAACCATCATATGATGACACAATTCTTAGTTAAAGAGTGTAAATTGATTGATTTTCATTTTAAAACTTTACTGTATCTAAGCCTCAAATTAATTCTATGTTTCTATAGAATTTTCTTGAAAAATAAATGTTAGATTTATGGACATATGACTAGTAGAATAATTTGATGTCGTTTTGTCATAACATATTTTTACATGTGGTTCTTCTATACTGTTGATATTTCAATAATAATATAATGTAATAATGGTTTTTTTAGTTTATTTTATATAAGGTTTCGTTCTGTAGCATCGAGAAGGTGTTCTGTTAGCTTGTCTCAAACATAGGCATCTTCACTTACAATCTTGTTGATTATCTTAACTCTTTGGAAGGATCGTATTTTATCGGAATATACTGCTTACCACTTTTTGACTTTCCCAATTACAGTAAATATGTCAGTTTCACAAATAATAATTTTATGGCAAGCTTTGATGTAAATTCACTTCGTAACAACGTTCCTCTTGAAGAAACCACGGATTTAGTTTGTGATCTCACATTTGCTTCTTCTGAATTTGTTAATGGTGAAAAATGTCTTTGAAAATCTCTTACCCTTTGCAACTAAAGACTTCTTATTTAAAACAAAAACTGAATCATCAAGTTATGAATTTTATGAATATACAAATTATCTTAGAGTGGAGAATTCCCACGCTCCATACCTGTCGGACCCTTTTATGTCATATAAAGAAAGGATAGCTTGAAAAGAATACATCTTCATCTAATGTCCTTATACTACTATAGATCTGTAGATGACTGCTTTCTTATTTTCGAATCTCCTGAACAGGCACCACAGTTCCTTAACTTCTTGAATAACAAAGTAAGTTTGTAAGTTTAAAAATGACGGCAAAAACTTTTTTCCTTGATAATCTAATTAGGCGTATGAATTTTGGTTGAATTTTAGCCAAAATAATCTTCACTGTTTTATATTCTAATTTTTTAAGCTTTGTTCCTGATTTTATAAAGAAACATTTACTTACTGTTTTTGTATCCAGAGCTTATAAACCATACAGTTCTTAAAAACTGATTCATTAAGTACTCGCCCCACCCCAGTGGCATGTCTGCGGACTTATACTGCTAGAAACCAGGTTTCGATACCCGTGGTTGGCAGAGTACAGATAGCCCTTCGTGTAGCTTTGTGCTTAATAACAAACAACAATAACATTAAAAACTATCAAATATCAGAAGTATACTTTGTGAAAATGCTTATTCTGCTCATTACATTAATAAAAACATGAACAAAACCATTGTGTACTTAGTCTATTGTAAACAACAAGCTTTAGTTTCAAATGTAAAACCTTGTTATACAACCATAACTCTACCTTTTTTAGGTAAACTTTCACGTACCTTACGTTATAAGTTGAAAAGGTTTGATGTCTAAATGATATACTCACAATGAACCGTATTTCAAAATCATTTAATAATTAAAGGTTTGTTCACATTCAATGCCACTATATTCTTCACTTATTGTCTAATTATCTGCTAGTCCGATTCGTGGACAGGAAGTCAGTATGTCGAATTGTTTGTTTGTTTTTTAATTAAGCACAAATCACACAATGGGCTATCTGTGCTCTGCCCATCACGGGTATCGAAACTCGGATTCTAGCGTTGTAAGTCCGCAGACATACCGCTGTGCTACCAGGGGGTAGTATGTCGAAAGCACCACAAAACAATCATAAGTCAGTATTTGGAATGTGCATCAGAAAGTTCGAACAAAACATCACTCATCTACTTTCATGCGCAAGATAATGTAGTTTTCCTTTTCCATTGAAAGATTTCCAAATTTTAAACAAAACTATTAATGAACAAGAACTACGCATCATTCGTGAATTAAGACAGGAACTAAATTCAAAAGAATATGTGAAAATTCTTCATCCTCATCTGCCTAATTGGGCCTTGCCAAAAAACTTAAAACACATAATTAAAAAGGGAAATAAAATAGATAAGTTCTTCCTTAAACGTTAATTTGTTTTGAATTTATTTTGTTTTAAATAACATTATTATTTAACAATTTCAAGTTACATATTTAAAATAGAATCAATAGATGGCACTAAACTTGCTTTTAGTGTACTGAGGGACAACGCGCGAATTTTTATTGCTTAAAATCAGGCGGTACTGCTCTGTTTGATGGTTGTTCATTTTTTCCTGTTTATTACTCTTTGAAACTTGAGGCAATTGTTCTTGACAGATCTTAATGTTTCGATACAGATATGCCATTATTTTATCAAAAAAACTATACATGGTATACCGAAACAGGTTTCGTATATGATTATAAATTATATGTATATATATATATGTATATAGTTTCGCTATTTGTATATAATGGTGAAATGGTATATAAATCATTTCGTATTTATAAGTTACAGCATCTGTCATATCATAATTTGCTATAAAATATACGATGATATATTTAGTCGTGTCAATATATACTTCGTATATTATAGAACCCAAAATTTAATATAACAAATCTTTGTACATTTGATTACCAAGCATCATTTCAAGCTGAGTAAGTTGTTGTTACATGTTAATGTAAGTTTCGCGTGTTTCCTATATACCAGAATAATTTTCTTATACACATTAATTAAATTGTGAGATACCTTTGTCTGTTACAGTTCCTCCTCAGTAGCTCAGCAGTAAGCTTGCAGGCTTAAAACGCTAGATTCGAGTTTCAATACCCACGGTGAGCAGAACACAGATAGCCTAATGTATAACTTTGCGCTTAATAACAACCAAACTATTACCGTTAAGCACACATTTATATAGGTCTGGTACGTTAGAGTACGACGTTATACTCTGTGCTGCTTATTGTGGTTTCCACTTTTTGTCTTTTTTATTTTTTCAAACATGTATGTTATTTAAGTTTAACATACATTATGGAGTAATATCATATTTTTCTGGGAAATGAGTTTGTACAATCACGATACTTAAAAAATGAGAACACTGGTGTTACTGATAGTTATGTAAAAAGTAATGATGATAAACAATAGTATACCTGTGTATTTTACAAAACTAACCTGCTAACTTTTACTAGTAAGTCGAATGTTTATTTATTCTGATACAATCTATAATCGATTATTAGTTGTTTGTTTCTGACATGTATGGTGGTGACCTTTGACCCTTATTATCTTAATATAATTTCCGAAGAACGCCGAAGGACATGTGACGTCATATGTAAAAGAGGAGGAAGACAAGAGTCTCAGAAAATGGCGTTTTGTTGGAGTGTGAGTGATCGGACGTAGTTAAGTGGGGGCACATTCTAGTTTTTCATTCATGAGAAGCGTACTTTGTGGATTACCACTATTTTTAGTTTAGTGATATAATGGCAGCAAATATGTATAGAGTTGGAGGTAAGTTTTCGGTTTTGTTGATAGTTATCCATGTGAGTTCTAGATTATACTGACACGACATGTTCTTTGGAGACAAGCCACCGGCCGATGGCCGAACTGAAGTTCATGCTTTAGGCCTATCAAACCTTTCGGCGCTAACGGATACTGTTGCATTAGCGCTAGAGGTCCGATGAAAAAAATAAATACTAGCATCATTCATATAATGAATGAAAATAAAGTTACTCGTTTATTACGATGAATAGGACCCCTGAATCATTTTAAATTTACTTATTCAAGTGAATCTTGTTTTTAATAAGTTGGCGTGTCGTACTTTGCGCCGTGGTTTACTTTTTTAGGCAACCGCTAGGTTTGAAATAAACCTATGAATTAGACAAAGCTTGTTTCAGTAGTATGGATATGAGATTATTCTGTATCATTACCAATAAATTAAAATTACGGGTTTATAGTTTTGGATGTTTTTATTTTTCATTTTGTTTATAATTTATATATATATTATTATTATTAATCAAAGAAATGTGTTTGCCTTTGTAGATTATGTCTATTTTGAAACCTCATCCACGGCATCGTATCAAATTCGACGAATTGAAGAACTAATTAAGGTAAGTGAGGGCAGTATCGTTTTGATAAAATTACGATAATATATGCGTTTTTGATATTGATATCTTAGGGACTAATTTAAAACTCGTTATTCTTAATCACGTAGATTTAAGTGAACTTCACTGCAGCAAAATGTTGTATTTGTTCTTATACTCTCTGTCTGTCTGTCTGGTCGTCAAAGGCAACCCACCGCCACAATGATGATGTAGATTCACGCGGCGCGGAAAAAAGGCCTAGGCCAGCACGGTTAAATTTTTGGTGTTCTGTTACAATTATATGCAGTTGTAGATTTAAAGTATACATTTAGAATTTAAAATCCAAATTTATTTTCAGGTAATTTTGTAATTTATTTGTAGCATTTAAATGAAAGTTTAATATTATTATACATATATTAATGGGAGAGATTAATATGTTATTTATACAGTAATTATAGTTAGATTTTTCATATTTCTGCTAGACTCCAAATGGAAATGTGGAAGCCAAAGTGATGTGTTTTTATAGAAGAAAAGATATCTCAAGTTCACTGGTTCTGATGGCTGATAAACATCAAAGTAAGTTACTTTTATAATTCTAAGTTTTAAACTTGTTTATTACTACTGCCTGTTTATATTTGAACAGTATTTGTTCCCTATAACCTACATAAATATGTAAAATAATTAACAGAAAGTTGGAGGACAGCCCACTACCGTAATGATGATGTAGATTTACATAACTAAATGAAGAGATACAAAATCAACAGTGGGATGTTAGATAAAACATGAAATACATTTTTATATAATAGATAGTTTTTTTATGTTTTAGGCTTAGAATATAAATAAGAAAATGAAATGTAGTACAAAAATTCAGAAACATTACAGGACAACACCTACAAGACAAAACAAGTTGATTTTATTACAGGTTTATAAATGGATAACTCCTGAACATGTGGTTCTCAGAGTTTGTTTCTGAAATGGATGCATTGAGTTACTGTAAATGAGAATGTAATGACAAATATGATACTCATAGCTTGAAAGTGTAGTTTACAGCAGATCCTTGTATGGTTTTTATTACCTGATTTGAGCATAATACATTTGTTTCATCATACAGTATATTTTAAAAGGTCAAAACATTTATATGACCATTTTAAATTGCAAAGCATACAGCAGCTTTTAGCAAAATAAAATGTATTTTATTTCAAAGTAAAAGAAAATTGTTTTTTTCCTGTTTTCACAAGAAAGTTAATAGGTAGTACCATTGTTAAGGGCCTAAACAAAATAATTGAGCTTATCATAACACATGTATGAGGTCACACATGGTACTGTGATGAAAATTTATATTTAGGTTGGGAACTTTTCTATGAAATTTTGTTCTTCTTGAAAACACTTATCAAGAGATACTGTGAATGTTAAAAATATTTTGCTAATTAGACTGAAAGATCCATACTTTTCTCTGTTGTGGGGTTTGCTGCTTTTACGCTATCACTATCATTACATATCCTTAATCAACAACTCATTTTAATGTTAACATGATGTACTTTATGATATCAAAATGATATAATTATACATATGATGGTTGAATTTTTTTTAATCACATTTTAGTTTTGAAAAGTCTTGCATTAAAAACCTTGAGTTTTTCCATGAAAGCCTTTTTCAAGTATTACTTTATACAAGCAGGATATTAGTTTTCATATGCTATAAATGTGCATAGATCATCATGCAATACAAAAACAGGATTATTAAGAATCAGTAGTTTCTTGCAACATGACAGAAATATAGTTTTGTGGTGTCTTTAGCAAATAGTACAACTTACTGTAGTTCAAGCACAATCTTATGAATATTTTGTACCATGAATGTTTATCAGAATTTGAATAAAAACATGTCTTCAGTAATCTGTGTTATAAAGCAGTTTGTCTATCTATGAGAAAAATTCTCAAACTTTCTGATTTCTGATCACCATGAAACTTTCTTGGATTTTGAAATCATCTTACTTTATATTTATTTTCTTTTTTACAAGCTTGATATCCATTTTAATCTTTCCCTTTACTTCCAGGGGTAGATCCAGGATTTTCAGTTTTGAGAGCTGATTTTAAAATCAGTTGCTCATCTTAGATATACCCTTATCTTGAACATTTTGAATACAAAAGCATAAATTTACCAACTTTTCTGATATCTGTAGGTTTAGTAAAAGTTCACAACTACTTACAGTCTAAAATACACCAAAGTTATTGAATTGTTATATTGTCACCTGTATTTGTTACTGTTTCTAAAATTGTAATGATGTGGGGTAGAAAAGCTTGGTACATAAAGTTAGTTAAAATAACAATAGATTTGCAGCAAATGTCACGTATCACTTGATCACTACAGCTAGAATAGTTTGCCATTAATTGTGCAAAAAACACTGCTTGGTGAAAAGAATGAGGGAGGGCGTATGCTTGAATCTATACATGTCTACTGCCCTAGTGCCTACTTTTGTAAACATTGATTGTCATGATTCTTGGTTATGGTTCAGAGGAATTCTTAAACTCATTAATTATGTGTTTTCTCATTTTTTTTCATAAATTTGAGCACTATTTAAATTTTTCCCCTTGTGCCTACTTCTTAAATTCTGATCATCATAGAGGCCAGGTGTGCCCTCATTGAATAGTGTGCTGGACTGTGAATCTAAGGGTTCATGATTTGTATATTCTTGCCACATAAATGCACATGGGAGTTTATTAATTTTCTCATTTTTCTGGAATCTTGGCAGTTTCAAGTTCCTCTTTGCTACTGTCTTAGTACCTATTTTTAGAAATTGTCATTTATTTTTTTGAGATTTGAAAATGTTTCAGAATAAAATAAGATACTTTAAAATAAAAAATATATTTTTTGTTAAATTCTTTTCATTCATTCAAAAGTGAAACACATTTTTCATATAACTTTCACAACCAAGTGAATATTGCAAATATCATGGCTACTTTTCCTAGTTTAAATAATTCATATAGTAAATAATTACATTCTTTGTGTAGTTTCAAGAATTGAAACCATAGTTTATACAGATATGTTTACCCATGAAAAGTGGGATATGGAAATGCTCATCAGTTGTAAGCTATTGAAAAAATTGATGTTACTTGTTATTTAAAGTTTATCTAGTTTCTGGATACAAAAGTTTTTATCTTCTTTTGCCTTCTCAGCTTACCTCTTACTGACCTGTTCTGTGCACATTCTGAAATATATTCATTTTAATACAATTTGCTGAGATAGAGGAAGTTTCTTTAAATTCAGTATATTTTTTTTTTGTGGTTAAAACATGTTGGGAAACTTTATATGATCAATCTCTCAAGCCTTGAAGAAGCTTTGTAAAGGAGTTAGTAGAGCATTAATTTTTATTTTTTAAAAGTTGCTGAACACTAAGGAAATTCTCCATGGTTGCAGTATTACCAATAAGATTTCTATTTGTAAAACAAAGAATTAAGGAAGCACCTGTAAGGTATTGGGCTTCTTGGATTTTCTTTTATTAGCAAGATATTGTAGTTTATTGTTAAATATCATATTGGATAATTATAATTATAACAGAACTCGTCATCACTTTAGTAAAATTTTATCTTTACTGGCCCAACTTAATGTGAGTGTGTAGTAGGGAAGGTTCTTTTTTGAATGAAGGAATCCAAGTTGATGTTGTACACCTTAATTTTCATATTGCTCTTTGTTATGTACTCAACAGGATGTGTTATTTTGGTGTATAAGGAGATCTGTTCCTTCTCAACAGGGTATAAATTTTGGCACACAAGGTTGATGTGTGCTGATGACAATTCTTTGTACTGAATAATTTTCCATAAGTTTGAGATCTCACTACAGTTTCTAATAGTTCTTGTTTGTTATACACAATGTACAATAACTATACAGCCTTTTCAATATGAGGTCTTGCTCCTCTAACTAATATATTTTAAATTGTATTGTGATCCTAGTTCATAGTTAAATCTTACGGATGAGTCTTACTGTACACTGTAATATTTAATCCAAATTTTACCTCTAACATGATATGTTAAAATACTTTTAAGAAGTTCTTTACTAAAGTATTTGTAGTCTTACTAATTGTCAGGCTTGCATATGGTCAAAAATTAATCATATAAACAGTTGAAAAGAAAACAAACTATACTTAGGTACACACCATCTTCAGTGTTTTTTAAATAGAAAAATCTCCTGTAAATACAGCTACTCTGTGCTTTATTCTGTGTTTGACTTTATAAAATGCATCTTACTGCATGAATCAAAGTAATTAAGTTTGGCTTAGGTAAGAGAAGATTAGCCTCTTAAGCTGAATAAAATATACAGAGTTGTTTCAATGTAATATTTCTAATGAGTATTAGTGAACAAAGTGGAATTTTCTAGCCTTTTGATAGCAAAATTAAATTTTTTTTATGTATGTGTATGTATATTCACAAGCATAGGAAAATAGACGTAATTATCATTCCACAAATAAACATTTGGCTGGTGATTTTTATATTGCACATATAAACAGGTTGATTGGTGATTTTTATATTGCACATATAAACAGGTGGATTGGTGATTTTCATATTGCACATATAAACAGATTGATTGGTGATCTTTATATTGTATGTATAAAAGGCTGGCTGGTGATTTTATATTGCACGTATAAAAAGTTAGCTGGTGATTTTTATTTTGCTCATAAAAAGTTGGCTGGTGATTTTTATATTGCATGTATAAACAGGTTGGTTGGTGATTTTTGTTTGATAATTGAAAACTGACATTTCATTTTGAACTCTTAACGTGAAAGGAAAAGTAGCCAGTACTAAGCACTCAATATATTAATGCTGTTTTGGAAGTTTAGTATCATGTCTCTTTACAAAAATGAGTTTTGTATATTTTAATTAAAGAACTAAAAAATTTGTGTGGTCGACATTTATATCTTATTTATTGGCATTTAAGGTGAGCAGTTTTTGCAAACACATTTTATTATTGTATAACATTACTTGTATGCATGTGCCAACATGTCCAAGGGTGTCTTAAGTTTAAGTCATAGTAAGTAAATTCATGTTATGGGGCTTAATTTGTCCTTGTGTTGTGAAACGTGCTTTAATGAAATATATTTTATACAAGTAAGTGTGTGTGGCATAACTCTGGGAATACCTATTTAGTGTTTTTTTGTACTTAAAGCTTTTAATGTTTTTTGGTGAAATTACTGTAGAGTGTGTATTAGTGTGCAGCTTATGCATACCATAAACATTATGTGCATTTCTAAATCACCTTATGTGCAGTTTAGAAGTGGGATTTTCTGCCTTCCTATTAAAAATTAAATAACATAAATGTATGGTTGTTTATGAGGAACTTGACATTTTCCTAGGGATTTTATGGTACATACACACACACACATACATTGGATCTGGGTGGAGCCTCCCATTTAAAATGTCACACAGTCGATTATGCGGTACCAATTAGAACACAAGGTACAAATCATAATTGATATTAATGTTCTACAGACTTGTTAGCCTGTCCTAGCTTTAGTTTGTATCAATTTGTTCTACTGTAAATACATTTTGAAATCATAATTGGCCAAAGTTCTTAATATATGCTCT